AAATTTCTGGTATAGACCCACACCTTTGCCCACACTCAACAAGGGAACACAAGCTTTAAAATGAGTTTTGATAATAACATTCATAATGTGCGCAGTGTAGTAGTATTAATTTAAAAAAACAGCCTGCAAAAAAAAAAAAAAAAAATCTTTAGTTTCGTATTTCTAGAACGCACCAAAATATTTTTAAACCTGGGCTCAAGTTACGTGGAATACCCCGTATAGGATTGTGTGAATATTGAAAACATTAGGATATCCAAGTGAATAATGCCATATTCGAAGCATACCTTGAATAGAATAGCACTATTGAGCAACTTCAAATGTTTTTAAGTTCAAAGTATTTCGCAGCTTGAAAATAGATATGAAAATTTCTGGGCTACCTGAGAAAATAAAGATGTTCCACAGCAATGCTCCAGTGTAAAGCGGTAGAGCTGGACACAAACGTAAAGGCATAGCCTCCTTTATACTGACAAAGCCTGGCAGATCGCCACGAGACGCGGCCGCCGAAAGTGAAAAGGTAGAGCGGCAAACGACGGACGAGAGAAAAGTCAAGTAATGGGCGCCCCGCTGCGGGGAGATAGCGAAACACACCTCCTGAGCAATGGAATTACTAGTTCTGAGGAATGGTACTTACCTGAAGTTCGAGCGGGAATTATACGCAGCCTATGGAAGCGCTTACTATGAAGTTTACAAGGAATGTCCGCTCGTGCTCTTTGCATTCCTTGTGCTACCGCTTTTTTTCTTGTCAGGTTTGAAAACCATGTTTTGGGTCCTCGCCGCTGCAGAACCTGTGTGCTGAATACCATATTCCGCGACAAATGTTCTCTGCTACCAGATCCTCGCGCTCCAAATTTGTGACCATACACACTATGGCTCTGTTGTCGAACTGCCAGGCTTTGCGAGTATAGAGGAGGGTATGATAGTGGGCAAACCAGTGAAGCTGCTCTTAAGTGTACCAATGCAAAGCGGTGAAGCTTGATGCGTCCAGCGATGCGCGAACACTACAGCATGAAGGCACATGTGGTAGGTGTGATAATTGTATGTCATGCTGTCATATGGGGAGTGACTCTGTATATCACGGAAGCCACCATCCTGCCATTTTACAAAGTATCCCCCACAACCTTTTAGCTCATTCTCAACTGGTGTCAGCTATTTGTGCAAGCTGATGAAGCATTTGAAGATAACTATTCTGGTAGTTTGCCTACCCGCACTACCCTGCTCTGAAAGAGGGCAAAGCACAATTCACAGGCATGCGTGTCCCCTGAGTGCTCGGTGAGAAGTACACTCCACTAAGCTAACTAGCCCCTGAGAAATATATCAAACAATTGAAAATATTGCAAAACTTCGAAGCAGTGCCAGTGTTTGATACGAATGTCAAAGTGAGTAATAAAACTTTGGTTCGATTAAAAGGTTAAAAGGCGCGAACAAACAGGACGAAAAAAGAGACACGTACGACACGGACAGGCGCCAACTTCCAACTGATTTATTGAAACACAAATCATCGTCAAACTCGATCCCAATTGCCTAAACACATGCATTACACACTTCCTTCAAGAAACACAATTTCTTTGGTAAACAGATAGAGATTGCATGCTTACGCATCTGTCAGCTGCTTTGTATATACAGAAAGCTTCAATGCTTTCCTAACTTCGCAGAAGTCTACAAGGATGATCCGGCACTGTAGCAGGGCAGAACCTTTGGGAAAGGCAAATCGACTTTTGGCACAGCATTGGCAGAAATTCCTGATTTCGTTGAAATGTAGCAGAGCGAGGCCTTTGCTTGGGTGTGGTGCTAACAGTGCAGCATTCACTTTGCTGCCAATATACTCGTAAGTATCAGCAATATATCAAATCGACTAGAGGGGATTCCCATTTAAGAGGAACGCAAATACATACAGAGCAATGTGGACAAAGCGAGGAAAACACAACAATTGTTCCACACATTCACGATAAGAGGTTTTTAGAGTTGCGTCTGGTTAATATGGACACCCCACAATATGGAAGAAATTTTCGGGGACTATTCTGTCTCATTAACATAGAAACCCGCAGTCTGGACTATGGACAGCTGCTTTGGAGACAAACTGGAAAAATACATGTCTTTGTCTTGTAATTTTCGATACATTCTCAAAAATAGGTCCCATAATGCAAGAAAGAGTATAACTGAACCCAAGACGTCGCAGTCCAAGCCTGGCTGTTGGTTGCCAGTCCCGAGATAAGACCTGTGCCCTTAAAGGTGGTGGGGTTATTGCAGACTTTATGCCAAATAGGTGTTTGCACCTTTGTGTCCATACCTGCCAACCTGTGGACTTTTAAATTCGTAAAACTCCCGGGAAGGGAAGGGGTGGAGGGGGGGAGGGAGGAAGAGGAGGAGAGAGGGAGGGGGGTAATAAGAGGCAGGCACTTTTCGGGATGAAGGACGATTTATTTTGTCAGCGATTTTTTTGTTGATTTCGCCAGTTGGCTTATTTTTTCTGCGCTTTTGTTGCTGATTTCGCCTTTAGAAAGTTCTCCGAGTACACTTGTTCGAAGCACGCCCCATTTTGATGCCCCCTTACCATGAGCAGGTTTCCGAGGGTCCTGTCAGCAACTGAGGAGCAGAAAACTGTCCGGGTGTTGTTTCAGTGCTGAACAGTCTTTCACATTCAGCATTGCTATGGGGAATTGTCAAGATCCTCACATGAACACTGCAATCCCATGGAATTTGAACGTTCCGTTGACACTTCAAATGTCCCCTACCTGTGCCCACTGTATGTTACTCCTTGATTCGTTTAATATAGCCAACGAAACATTATATGCTTGCAGGTTGGCGAACTAAACTTGGAGCACAACCATTGCCTCATCCTTTGATCCATCACTCTGCTGAGGCAGCAGTGCAGGGAATGCCGTAATAAAATGGCATGTGCTGCTGAACGATGAGGTGTCCAACGACTGCAGTTGGGCAACTTCAGCCGCCCTGAGGTCGACGTTTTCCAAGGGAAACTTGTTCCGGATGTAATCGCATGCCATTGCAAAGTACAAACGTACAGCAGAAAAGAACTCTCTCTCATTTGGCCTGAGCCTTTCAACAACAGAATATGTCATGCTACCAATGACAAGGTTCTTATTGTGTCTTTGGTTCTCCACAGCTCCATAAGCCAATGTCCATAAGCCATTAGCTCGGTTCTCGTGGACAGGTCGGGGCCAACTTGTTTAGAGCAGTCTCTATGGCAGTTTCCCAACTGAGTGGTTTAGTAACGTTGCAAGAAACCAACGTGCGCAGTCAAACACATGAAGAAAGGCTTTGGGCTTTGGATTGGTTTTGGATCCATGGCCACCAGCCAGATAAACGGATAGTAAAATCCACGACACTGCCGTGGACGATACCTGTCGCCCTCTTGTGGCACCAACAGCAACTTTACAAAAAAAAAATTATATTTTTTGTTTTTCGTAAAATTTGAAGCAAGATTTGTAAAATCGGAAACTTAGTCCCAATTCATACATTTTACAAAAGATTCAGAAGAGTTGGCAGGTATGTGTGTTGCCTTAGGTCATGAAGTACATGCATGAGGAATCGCATTTACCTATCCTTTGTACCCTGACTGCAGAAAAGGCAAGGCCAGATGGTTCCCTGGTCGGTTACAACACAAACAAGACAACGTCGGGCGAGAGGCTGAAGCAGTCGGGGACCCTGGCAATTGTAAAAAGTAAACAAAACGTTTCGTGCTACTAAAATAAAAAAAAAGTTTACAATTTTTTGTAATGCTGAATTAGAGTGCAGCTCTCGTGGAGGAGGAGAGGGTATGCTCCTCCCCTAAATGTTTGCTATATTTTTCGCTAAATTAAGCGAAAATTTCCCCACTAAATTTAGCGGGAAAATTTTACCCCCGTGACGTTATGAAGGAAAACGTCCCATAACGCAACATGGTTACGGCGACCAACCCGGAAACTGGCTCCTGAAACCTGCCTTCTAAAAAAAGAAAAAAAAATTTTGGTGGTGTAGCTCAGCTATGCGAGAATATACCGTACGTAGCGTGAGCTTATGCGCACACAATGAGAGGCGCTATCAAGCGGCTCCGGTGCAGCGTCAGACTTGGCTACTGCACAATGGAGGCGCACAGCTGGGCATGTGGCGGCGCCAGTGCGTCTGCCACGGCTATGACGTCACTCCTCTGGAATGCGCAAACCAGCGAGGCGGGCCACGCCCGCCTCTCCGGCTCTCATAATGAGCCGTGCTCATTATGCGGAGCGCGCAGCGCCAGGCTCATTATGCAGAGCTCCGTTGCCACGCGCTCCACATAATGAGCACGGCTCATTACGAGGGCCACGCGAAACTGCTCAACCTTGGCCAGTGTAGCTAACGCTACAAAACTTTCCGCCTTTCTATTCTGGTGAAGAAAGAAGAACAGTGAAGCTGTGCTATGGTGGTAATGAAGTAATGGCCGGCCGCAAATCGGTAAGGTGGAAAGGTTGCGTCATCTATGAGCGATGGTGGCAACCAGACAATTGGCGAGCTGGTTGCCGCCGTCGCTCAAAGATGGCGGCAGCTGTCGTCATTTGTTTGCCGACGGACACAATACTGGGGAAACAAGCCCTTAAGAGCTCCGCTGTTAAAAAAAAGAAAGGTGCAAATTCAAGAGCGAGACATCCTCGGAACTTTTGCAATATACGGGAGTGCAAAGCCAGAAGAACCTTGGCATCGATGTCGCTAAATCGACGGTGCACGAAATTTTAGAAGAATCCGACAAATGGATGAGCAAGGCAAAAGCCAGCCTGATGTGTTCTGCCTTCTGGACACAAAAAAGCTCGAAAGTGCTAATGTAAACTTGCATCTCAATTTTTTTGCCTAAACAAACAGTGTTTGTTTTCTGGACTTCATAAACAACAATTGTCTCTGGTCTTGATTCATTATGGACAACTCGTATTATGGACACTTTCTGGGGAACGAAGGTGTTCATAATGACAAGACATGACTATATTCCTCAGTCACTCTCACTATGAGGTTTCAATGAAACAAAATGGAAAAGGTGGTACTGAAAAGACAATATATTAGTTCACATTTGAAGACATGCCTCGATGAGGCAGCAAGTTAGTTTATTCCTGTGTCCCATTTTTAGTTTGAAGTAAAATCGGTCACTGTGTTGATGCATTACCATGCCGCCTCCCAAGCTAGCAAAAACACGGCCACAGTGACTCAACAAAACAGTTGTCCACCAAAACATTTCCCAAACTGTGACCATCACTGACACAACTTGCCATTGAGCTATGAACATTGCTCAAGACAGCATAGCTATTTTTTTGTGGGACCCCACCACACACCCGGCATATCTTTTGCCACACAAACAAAATGTCCCACTTAAATGTCAACAGTAACATCGGATGAAAATGCGGAATATAAATATTGCACGTCCGTCTCCTGGCCTGGTCCCGAGGAGTCCTCAGTGCCACATGCTGCCTACTGCACTGCATCCATGTCCCAGTGACGTAGCAGACTTGCCTCTATTGCGTAGCTGGTTCAGCAGATGGGCCTGTCATGAATGTTCATCACCATGGCATGACAAAGCCTTCCAATAAACTTCTTGCCCCACCAGCCTTGGCACTGTTCACACGCCATGGAGACCTCCGAGGTGAGACACTAGTTCCATGTTACTAAATTGCACAGCCCTGCAGTGAACAGATCACCCTGTATCCTTGCCGACATCTTCAAGGTCACCAGTCTCGAGGTCCAGGTATCTGCACATAATCAACAATCGCTGTAGCAAAAAGTCACAGAATCCACCATTGGGTGAATTACACAGGATTTTGACCTTCCTGTTTCAGCTCTGTTCAATCATGTATACTTCACTGGGTCCAGTACAAATAGCTTCATTGTTTAACACAAGATCACGGTAAGGCTAAAAAGCTTTTAGTTGCAAGGGCAGCCAAATGAAAACCTAATAAAAATGTTTCTCTCGATTTTGCCTCTAAAAACATTCTCCCCAGATGAGCAATGTTCATCACTGTTTACCTGCTGCAGTGATGTGATTGGTTGGAGCGGCTCAACGTTTGCCGCTCCAACTCCATCGCATTGACTGTGCTAACGATTGCGCCTCACGTCGCACGCTGGAGTTGAAGAGATTTCGGCGACTTGGCTGATTTGAAAGTTTGGTGGCGAGTTTATTAAATATGTAGATATTTTCTAAATATCAAAAATGAAGCGGAGTTGCCCTTTAAGAAAGAGTGACACATCTTCTTATGCAGGTACGTAAAATTGTCCTAGAGAGCTGAAACTTTGCACAGTACACCTACACGTGATGTTGAATCTCCTCTGCAAATTTCATACCGATCACCTGAATAGTTCAGAAGTTCAATTTGTAGCCAGTAGAAATCATGATATAAATTACAAATTGCCGTAGTGCATACACCGACGTGCGGTTTACCAACACGGCACTTTGCCCGCAGATGCGCAGAATGTGGACAGAAGCGGCCGAACTCTGTGTTTTTGCCGTTGCCAGTACTTCACTCTTCATTTCTTTACTTCATTTGTTGTGGCATTTGGTACCCGCACATGCGCAGAAAGTATGTGGACAGAAGCGGCCGAGCTCCGTGTTTTTGCCGTTGCAGTACTTCATTCTTCATTTCTTTACTTCATTTGTTGTGGCATTTGGTGCCAACGAACCTCGTATGTGATGCTCGACCATTTGGGCTAGCTACCAGACCTTAAACGTCAGCAGTACAGACAAAGTGCGTTGTTGGCGTTGCACAAGCAGACTGCATTGATAGCGTTGCTTTCGACAATCCTAATTGGCGCTTCGACAAAAAGTTGGTGCCACTAAGGTCGATGGCTCATGTCATTGTTTATGTGATGATTTCAACAAACTAGTTTACAGCCTGCACAATTCAGTCATACAAGTCTCTTGATCTGTAAAACTACAGCACAAGTATGAATGTGAAATAACCCTTTGAAGGAACCGCATAAATTGCTATGTTGACCTATCGTGCTACGATTTATTACAGAAGTGATCTAGATGGTGCATTAATTATATAAAAGTATGAGCCCCCTCACTGAAAGGGGCACTGAAGTCGATTCTGAGATCATCTTTTTGTGGTGACACCTCAATCTAGACACTCTAAGCATCTCAACAAACCTAAAATTGCAATCATGTGTAGGTTATTTACTCGTTAAAAGCGTGTTCAAAGATTGGGACAAGCCCTTTTTGGGAAGAATTTTCTTCCAAGTGAAGTGGCCGACGAAAGGCGCTTGTCGGCAAGCTGCAAGCTATGGCTTCGCCCGCGGAGAAAAAGGGCAGTCTTATCCGAATCTGTACAATCAGGCTCTCTTCGAAAGAAGTTATAATAAAATCATTCGGAATTTGTGCGTACTGTTGGGCTTTCATTGGTCCACACAATGTAGTCCGGAAGAAAAAAAGAGTCCACATGCTTTTCTCTTGTCCCGAGATGAAAAGGCAGTTATGTAATATAAGACTTTGTGTATGCGTGAATTAACACCTTTTAAACAATATAAGATCAAAAACGACCTTTTCCAAAAATGACTTCAGTGCCCCTTTAAGTAAACAACACTTTTTGTGGGTGAATTCCCCGCCCCTTTTTGCGCCATATCAACAGCATTTTGGGCCAACGTGGTGTTTATTATGACTGAAGAACGGAGGGAATGGGAAGGAAGTAAATTTGGCTTATGTATTATCTGCTTCCCTTTGCCAAAATATACAGTGGCCTAAAATGTAATTTTTTTCTTTCTTCTTTTTTTTTTTACTAAGGTGAGCTCTGCTCAATAATACAGCTAAAAATGGCCCATGTTATTGAAAAGAGATGGTTAAAGTGCAGGCGAGCTGGTGGTTGAAACCTGGAACTGTATTCAAAAAAGGAAAAAAAAGTTAGGAAATAGAAAAAAAGGGACAGGCAACGTCTCCAGTGATGTGATTGGCCTAAGCCGTTTTGGAGCATCTTTCGGAGCAGCCAAAACAGTGTTTTGGAGCAACAAAAGTGTACTTTGGAGCAGATACTCCTGGAAAAATAAAATATTTGTTTCAAGGGCTGGACAAACGAAGGACACTTTCTTCACCACAGTAAACATATTATAGTCAAGTTAGACCACCTGGGATTCTTTCAACATATAACTGAAATGCCAATGACATGAAATATATTGCAATGTTTCAGTAAAATGATGCATATATATGTACCTGCTATAGATAAATAAGAACCAAACTGCATCTATTAAAATTTATTTTAAAGTGACCAGCTTAGTATTAAATATCACAGCATTAGGTTGACTAGTTATATAATAAATAGAAGCAGTCTCTAACTGTTGATACGCGTGACCACTGCAGTACAATGCGAAATTGTCATGCGAGCGGGAATAGCTGTTTGATCGAAACCATGCCACTCCGCTCCGTCGCCAACTGGTTGCCAAAATTGTACACAAAATGTAACTGTCCACCATATGACAAAAAACAGCCCAGCCGCACGTGCTTGCCAGAGCGGCTGGCGAGGTATAAGCTAAACACACAGAAAAAAAAAAAAAAAAAAAACTTGAGCACATTGATGCAAGACATTACGAGCCAGGGACAAAAAGTTCTTGGAGCGCTTTGTGCAACGACTGAACTCGAGACAAACAAGCGCGCTGTGCGAGTTCAGCGTAACAGATATTGCCTTCTTTGCTTTAGCTCATTTCTTTTCACCAACCCTTTCGCGGCAGATTTTTCATTGGTTCTTTGGCGCAGGCTTGGCGCAGATTACCCATATGTTGGCAAAATGTAGGAGGATGTAGCAGGGTTAGCACCTTGGCGCAATTGGCGCAGCAATCACATCACTGCGTCTCAATTTCATTCCACCTGTGTGCTAAATTTACATCGGTGTACTTTAACCGTTTAACCCCCAGGTCCGAGCTGTGTTGTCATTAGAGTTTGTACAAATATCACCAAGGACGAGTCAACCTCGTCCACCCTTATGCTGTGGCACTCTCTGCGCCAAAAACAAGTTACAATAAAAAATTAGTTTCGGTTTCTTTTTTCAACACAAGAAGATGGTAGAAGTCAAGAAAAAAAAAAGTGTTTTGCACATTTGCAGTGTGTTTTGCCCAAGAACGGTGATTTAAAAATGGCGCCATGCATAAGGAATGCTGACAACGGTGATGTCTCCAGAAAAAGAGCAGTTTCTTGCAGCAGTTCGGAGAGTAGCGATGCTGAAGGCCTCGAATTTGTCTCCCAAAGTTAGTCTCACATTGCTTTTGAAGACAAGACGACCTCAGACGACGAGAGCGGCCATCATAATGTGCTTCTGAAGACTTCAGATTAAGTAGGTTGACTCCTTTCACGGGAGGTAGAAAAGGTTGCGGGTAAACGCCTAGGAATCTTGCCTGTGAATGTCAAGGTGGTATTTATAATATTCCTTTGGCATGTGGGTTTTCATACATAGGTCAAACTGGATGTTATGTTGATGAGCGAATCATGAAGCACAAAAGGTGTGTTCTCCTGCAGTCCCCAAGTTCAGACACTTTAGAACATTTACAAGTTTGCCACAACTGTCCACCACGGTGATTGTCCATGACGGTGATAAGCCGAGAGCGAGATCAGTTTTAACGCGTAGTAAAAGAAACTCTTAGTATTGTTTTTGCTGGAAATTGTGTAAGTGCCTCGTTGATAGTGACTGACAAGTAAGTACAAACTTTTTTGCAAATGTTTTTCAGTACATTGATTTTGGCAAGTGCGGAAGCGTGGAGGGCATTTCTTCTTTTGTTTGCTCTTTCTGAGTCTGGGGGGTGTGACTTGGTGCAAGGGTTCTTGGCGTCGACTGCGGTGTACCCATATAAAAGGGTGTGGGTTTAGAATAAACCTTCAGCAGTGTTCGAGACGTTGTGTATGTCGTTGTCTTTTTCATGTCCTTTTCCTCTCCGGTGTTTCAGGTTTTTGTTAGGTCTGCAATTGACCAGATTGCCTGTACTTTCACTCTCCTCTCAGTAATCACTTTTTAAAATGCACGCAATAGGACCTCATCTATAGTGCGTTAACAACTATCCCATGCACACAGGGATGACTTACATGATTATGCTTCCTGTAGCAGATCCTCATGCTTGTGGTCGCCAGTGGTCACTCCCTCTTGGCTCGCAAAACAATGAAACAGTGATTACAGGCACTTATTAGCAAGAAAACCATTATATCCTAAAGCACATGAGTTCAATACTAAACAAAAAATGGTTCATCGCGGGAACTGCAACTGCAATATGCAAAATAACAAAATAAGCACGTAACAGGTGATTCGAGGTGGTATGGTTACACATTAACTTAGAAACAACCTGTCTGCATCAATCTGAAATTAAACTGCCAAGCTCTGGCTGTTAAAACACTTTTTCAATTAAGGTCAGCTGATAGCATAAGCCACCTGTTGGAGAATGGCAAGGGATGCCCCTCTTGCCTTTAGCTCGAGCACCTTTTGACATTCTCCAAGGTGGAAAGAGCTGCACATTCTTGTGCAGTAATATCGAAAATAAAAGAGCACCGCTTGCAGCAAGGGGGACACGGAATTAATGGGCGTGTCGAGGCACTATGATAACAGGTTAAATTAAATAAAAAAACCTTTCCACATAATTTGAAAATAAAATACTGTTACAATTAACGTCAGTCTATAACAGAAGCCAACTGTTGGAGAGTGGCAAGAGATGCCCCTCTTGCCTTTAGCTCGAGCACCTCTTGACACTCTCCAAAGCAGAAAAAGCTGCACATTCTTCTGCAGTAATATCTAAAATGAAAGAGCACCGGTTGCAGCAGCAAGGGGGACACTGAATTAATGGGCAGTGTCGAGGCACTATGATAACAGGTGTAAATTAATTAGAAAACCTTTCTACATAATTTGAAAATAAAACACTATGATTAACGTCAGCCTATAACAGAAGCCGACTGTTGGAGAATGGCAAGGGATGCCCCTCTTGCCTTTAGCTCGAGCACCTCTTGACATTCTCCAAGGTGGAAAGAGCTGCACATTCTTGTGCAGTAATATTTAAAATTGAGAGAAAAGTGCTGGTTTCGGCACCTGTTGGAAGATGGTAAGAGATGCCCCTCTTGCCTTTAGCTCGAGCATCTCTTCACATTTTCCAAAGTGGAAAGAAATCCAAGCTGTCAAACACACCATCCCTTTTTGCAAGAGGAACACTGCCCCTTTTTTTGTAGTCCAATTGTCACAACTACTGATATGCAAAGTAGTCATGGTCCTTGAGGGCCAGCACAGACGTGCTCGGAACATCTTCAGGGAGCTGCGCGGATGCCGCTCTTTCTGTAGAAACTCGTCTGGCTACAAGGCCCTCCATGATTTGCTGCTGCTCCAATCTGGTGGGAGGTTTGCCATGCATGGGACCAGAACCAGGGCGTTTCCTTTTGGTGGGAAAGTACCGTGCTTGTTTTTCCATCTTTTTGTTGTGCGGGATTACCCTAGGTTTTAAAGAAGTCTCATCTGGAGGAGAAGTCTCATCATCTGGAACAGAGTCAAGTACTTCTTGGATCTTGATAAGGTGTTTCAACACCAAGGAGCTTGAAGAGCTTGGCAATTTCTTCCTGGGGAGGGACTTGTTCACTCCACTCAGTGCTAAACGTATCTTGTCCTCTAAATTTGGTTGAGTCTTCTGCATCCCTACCTCAATACTCTGCCGAATGTCATCCAAGAGAGTCTGTGGCTCATCATCCAACGTAAAGCCTGTTGCTTCACGTGTAGTTGATGGCATTTCTACATCTGGCTCGGTGTCGGCCTCCTCCACAGTCGTCGCATGAAGCCCCAGGTAAGCTACTGCGTGAATGTGCTTGCACATTGACGCTGAAATCAGGCTGTCATTGCAAGTGCACTTGTAACTGTCGATACAGATGTCACAGTCCTTGCAGCGAAGCACGCAACTCTGGCAGGGATCGCCCTTCTCAACATGGTAGCTTCTCTCTGCCTGGGACTGGGACTTTACAAGCCAGCCATTGCCATTTTGCAGCTGTTCTACATCTGATGCAGGAATTTTCATCCCTTCCTGGTGCCTCCGAAAAAGGGCTGCATCATGCCGATTCGTTTTTCCTTTTACGAGCGACTTGAGACGCTTGTAGAGGCGGTCACGGGTCAGTTCGAAGAGAATCATCAACAGCTTGTCGAGCCTCTGGTTGTGAGTTCCATGCATGTAGTGTGACTTCAGGTCCTTGTGCATTGCCTCCAGGTGGTTGTTAGTATTAAAAGGAATGCCCTTTCTGAAGCAGAGCGCCCACTGTTCTGCTCTGCCACCATAGTAGCGCTCGAAGTACTGAAGAAACTCCTGTACTTGTTGAATTAGTTTTGGATCAGCCTCTTCACTTAGTTTCTGACAGAGAAAGCCTGTCAGAGCTTGTTGAAATTGACCCTCATCTTTGGAATTTCTCAGCGCCCACAACTCGTCGCGAAGACGGTCACGGGTTTGCTTATCTTGGACTGACTGCAACTTCTGAGTCCAGTTGCGGTTTACATGCCAGGAGCAGAGCATGCGATGTTGGGCACGGCCCATCACTTCCTCCCATGCATTACCATATGCGGCAGCATCATCGGACATGAATGCTTCGCATGCGAGGTTGCCAATTTTTTCCTTTATGGCTTTAAAGAAGCGTTTCATGGTCTCGGTGTCTAGTTTCTTTGAGATCAAATATGCACATGGCATGCCTGATTGATCTTCTGCAACTGTCATGAGGGTCGTCAGTTGCAGGTTGTGGCCATTTGTATTATGAGTGGAGTCAATGCACAAGAACTTGGGGCCCAGCTTCGTGAGGAGTTCTTTCTGAGGGGCAGTCATCAGGGCAAGCTCAAAGGTCTCTTTTTCTTTTCCTTCCTCCATGTCAAAGTACAGCACTGGGGAATCTGACTGTTTGTTCAGTTCCTCCACCCACATTGAGACACTTTTAAACTGATCCTTGTGCCGTCGCTCTTTCGTCAGAATTTCATGCTTGACGGAGATGTTGCCAATGTCTTTCATTGAGAGCAAATGAAGCCTGCCCATCTCACTGCCAGCGGAAGAACGTGCATCTACCAGAACCTTACGGGCGGGGATGCCTTGCTTTAGTTTATCAGCTAAAGCCTCCCTCTCAGTCGTCGAGAGGCGCTGGTGCTTCAGTTCCTTCGGGTGGCCGTAGTGTTCTGACTGGTACTCTACTGTCACCTTCCCATCTTTCTCTGTTGCTTGAATTGTGGCTAAGCATTGCACATTAGTCTTACAACTGCCCTGAGTTTTCAGTTGTCGTTTACCTTGGCTGGTGCTCTGAACTGGTCCAGAGCGGTGGCAGTAGTAGTACCTTGTCAGGACATTGTTATCTGATGGTTTTTTGGGTCCGTTGTGGAGAACGAAATGAACATGCTCTCTGCTTTCCTCAGCCTCCCTCCAGTCACTGAATTCTGGCAAGCAGAGAAAAAAGAAAGCTTAAAAGGAAATGGCCTGAATGAAGAGTAGTACATCAGTCACATCACATACTTCCCTGCTTCAAAACATACTTTCTTTTTCACTAAATATACACCCTAACCAGACTTAGCTGTAGCATGTGGTCCATGGTTTGTTTGTGCTCCCAATGCCCACACAGTAGGTGCACTCCAAAACACTGCAGTCTGCAAAAACAGGTTCACTGAGCCCCACATGTGTGGTGTTTGCAAGTGCACCTGCTAAGTGAGTGACGGGAGGACAGAACAACCAGAAACCAAAATGCATCTTGTTTATTCATAAGTTGAACGCAAGTGCGCACAACATCGGACAGAGCACAAGTTTCTATGGCTGTGTGTCGACTGCGCATATTTCACAAAACATAACGAATCTTCGGTTAATTAAACACTAAGAATTTTATTCGCGAATCGAATTATCCGAGAGATTACTATTCGATTTGTATTCAGATATTAAAGTATTCATACACCCCTAGGAAAATGTCAAGTCTCATTATAGTGGCAGTAACAAGAGCAGCTGAAAAACCCTAGTATGTTAGTACCACGTAAACTGTAGACATGAGATATATGCTTACGATAAAATTCCGAGATGCCCCAGCCCTGAAAGGTAAACCACCCCTGTTTTTTAGCTTGATTAGCTGTTTTCTTTTAGCTAGCTATGGGAATATAAAGAACCATTACCGACTGGCAAGTAGAGCCATCATTGCTTCACACTGAAAGTCGGCCCACTCCTTATTTTCACCCAATTTACTCCACACCTCAGATAGCCGTACTTCCATCATGCATACCCGTGGCAACGGCGAAAGCCCCTACAATCAGGTGTGCCAGGTTTGTGTAGTAACCGCAAGCTTTAGCGCCAGTGCACGAGTGCCAACTCAAGGAATAAAAATTTACATTTGATTTTGTCTTAGAAAGGGCTCAGACGGTCATTCAACTCTTTCTTGACCTACCACACTATAACGTAACGAGGAAGTAAAGTATGTTAGCACACAAATGATTTAGTGCTAAATCATTTGTATGCGGTTAAATCCTTCTCCAAGATGTTATAAGGTACGTATGGTGGAAGTATGGCTATTCCCAAGCGCAGATGTGCTTTAGGAGGCGATCCTGTTGATGTCCTGATCTGAAAGTCTTGTTAGTAAAGTAACACGCCTTAAAGAAAGCTGAAGTGGTTCTTAAAAATATAGTTGGAGGTGAATATTTACTTGAATCCAAATGTGACAATTATTTGGTGCAAAATTATTGGCAAACGTAAGAAATCCATGTCCCCCATTCACCATTTACGACGTCAAATATAGACTTTCGGCTACGCAGCGCGTGCCGCTCCATGAGGGTTTTTTTATAATTTTCTTGAAACTCGCTTCGTGGAATTACGTTTCGTAGACAACTTTTCAGGGACACGCGTTTCGTCAACACAATCGTTTTATCAATGCTCGTTCTGCGAATTGCATGCTGTAGGGACATTTCGTCTAGTGTGCATCATAAGGGTGCGCAATAACCCACCCACCTGCCTGCGTTCACGCCGCTTCGCAGCGACAGTCTGCGGCGGCTTATTACAAAAATGTTAACCCACTTGACCGACGCTGCACAAGACTGTCACGGCAACATTCTCATGCAGCTTATTACAAATAACAGGTGTGTCATCCTCTCAACGACATAAGAGGATGACACACCGGGCGACAGCGGTGCCTCAATCTGAGCCCTGGGCCTCGGTTCCTTGGAGGCGGCAGCTTCTACTTTGACTGGGCTACCTCCTTGGAGCCTGATGCTTTGACTCCAGTGGGTCCCAGTGAGCAACAGCGCCATCATGTTCCTGGGGCTTTTTCATGCACCGATCGAACGGTATGCCAGATCCCCATGGCTCGCTGCTAACCCACCCAACCCACCTCGACTAAATCTGGACTTCTGCGAATCGGTCTGCCATCCTCTCCAATACCAAAAATCCATGTCGTCGTCATCGCGCATGTATGTACTCATCACATTTTCATGTTCACTAGACGCGGCACCGTGGCCCTCCATGGTACTGGGTGCTGCTTTTCCGTGGCTCTCCAGAGCAAAATAAATAAAGAGTAATGAAAGACTAAAGACATTTTGCAATGAATTGATTGCCACCTCTCCAGGAGCACGCTGAGTGTGCATAAATTTGATCAGTGCATTCAGTGCACGAGCTTTTTGAGGACCATGCACTTGCAGAACGAAAGAGCTCTGTACATGACGTCACAAGCTACAATTTTGAAAGCCCTTTTCAGAGGGGAACTAAAGAATAAACTCGTACTGCGTGGCAAGTTTTAAGCATCTCGTAAACAATTCGCACAAAAGACGAGTGAGGGACAGGACAAGCGGTACTATCGAAAAGAGTGGGGCATTTTGAGATTCAAAGGAAGGCAATGTTGCATTTTTATGCACTAGATTCTAGAAAGGTGAACAAATCCCCTAAACGAGAAAAGAAAATTAAAAAAAAAAAAAAAATTAACAAAGCGACTTTCTTCTTGTACTTCTCTTAACACGCATTAAACAGTCAGTCGATACTCGATAGTAACGCTTGTGCGTCTCTGTTCTTATCCTTTATTATTTTTTTTTTTTTGCAATGTTTTCGAGATGATCACACTGGCCCAACAACACACTTTTAATTTCCAATGCGACAACATATCGAGAAAAGCGAGCGCCACTTACCTTTCAACGAATCGAACTCTAACTTCTCGCGCCTCGCGACGAACCCGTGTTTCGCTTCAAAGTGGAGCAGCAAGCCCCCATGGAACGCAAAAGAAGCCGTTGGACACAGATCGCATGCAAGGCGGCAACGGCGAAGGGGAAATGTGACCCAGCTCTTGTCAGATTCCCCGTGGACCTCCTTTAAGTGCCTCTTTAAGTTGTAAATTTTCTTGAAACGCTTATCACAAATCGTGCACTTGTACTTATCTGGGTCGGTCTTAGAAGAAACACCACCGCTTCCTCCAGGTTCCGCGGGTTCCGCCATAGCGAGGAAAGACGAATACGAGCAGACCTAACTTCTTAAAATTTAGGTTATCACCCTAACCGGTAGTGTGCTGCATCTGAATTAAGCCACGCAACACGGTTATGCGAGCACAATAATAATAATAATAATAATAATAATAATAAGTAAGGACGGCGGTTTTACGAAGTGATAAAGCGTTATATCGCTAGCACAGCTAACATACACAAAAGCTACGGGGCAACCACTAACGATCCAAATTTTAAACTGAGAACCGTTACCACCGTTATTACGGTTGAAACTTGAAAACAGCGAGGCCAGGGTGGCGCCAGTGGGCGGGTCATACGTGATGCTATCATGATATAGGATGGTCGAGAAATAAACCAGTTAGCTGAGTTTCAGACGTCCCTTTCTGTGTCTGATCCTTCTACTAAAAATTTTCTAATTACTTCAACCACAGCCTCAGGTGTTATATGGCATGATTATTATCATCATCATCACCACCACGCAAACGGATTCCCTACGAGCGGTTTTCCCTACGCTGGCGTTGTCCCCAGATCTAGGCACGGGCAGATCTCTGGATAGGCGCTCGCCATGGATGATGGCTGGCTCGGGCTGTGGTTCGGCGGTTCGGCTTCACGTTCAGCTTCGACAGCCGTTGACAAATAAAAAAAACGAGAAAATAGTGCATTTCTCCCCCGTTTCTGAGCTGTTGTCGGCACCGAAACTTTTTGGCTGCGTGCCAAATAGCTTGTGCATAAAACGATAAAACTGACAGCCTTCACAGTTCTTATAAATAAAAGTTTTGTGGTCAAGAGTGACTCCGCTGGGCGAAAAATGTAGTGCGAGTCGATGGCTGTTTTGATGCGTTTAGTCGTTTAGTTTGTTTAGTTTAGCAGACAAACAAGCTTGAAGACTCGCTCCCGGAAAGCCGCTGTCAACATGAAACTTTTTCAAAATTCATCAACTTTTGGGCTGACTTGCATAGAGCGCATAGAGCGAGCAGAGTATTTTGTTTTGCCGACACAACGAGGTAGAGGGGCTTAGAGCGATAAACCGGGGTTCCGGTCTGCACTCGAAAGTGACCCCCATAAGGAGGCTGCCATTGTACGCAAATTTGACCACACGTCACATGACCAAACCAAATACGTGACGTCACAGGAAAGATGGCAGCGCCCATGCAGCGGCTGGCCCCAGCTGGGCCGGAGCTTGTCGGATGCTTTGTTGGTTGTCGTTCGTCTCGGCGAGTTGATTTCAGACGCGGAAGCCGTCATATGAGGCCGGTCGAAAGCGAGTTCAGAGTTCAGCGTGGTGTTTGACGTAGGTATAACGTGAAAATACGGAGAAACTGTGTGCATTTCGCTGGTGACCGACCGGCATATTGCCACGGAAGAGACAATCTGACCTACGTTGCTCGGACCTCGGATTGATTCGGATACCGCTAGGATAAAATTTAAGGCGACGTTTCTGTGCTCTCGTTGACCATCGGAATCTTCGAGGTTTGCAGTGAAGCGTGTGCAATATATTTGGATACACAGTTTAGCGACGGAAATTGCGTGAGTCGTGCTTGGCGGTGTGCAATCGTGGTGCAGCTTCGATCAAATGACCGAGGGCTCACTTCGGTTGTGCGGCGCACCGGAATGCTGCCTTGAAGCTGGTAGTTCCCGTGCCCTGCTGAATGATGCTGTACTGCCTACAAATTGTTCCGGCGTAGAAGTGCACTTTCACGGAGCACAGGTGTGCGGCGCACCGAAGAGCTGCCTTCAAGCTGGTAGTTCCTGTGCCATGCTTTAGGTGATACTGTGCTGCTTCCGAAATTGTTCCGGCGTAGACGTGCACTTTCACGGAGCACAGGTGTTGCAGTTGGTATTGATCCCGCTGGTCAGTCGCACGTTCCGTCAACACAAACGTTTCATCCACACTCGTTACGCGAATTGCAAGCTGTCCGGACATTTCACCGAGCGTGTTACGTACCCAGCTCACGCCGCTTTTTAGCAACAGTCTGCAGTGGTTCATTACCAGAAAAGTGGTCTCACATCCATTTCAGTTCAGTTCGTCCACGGCAGTCACCAAACCCCGAAGGAGAGGATATATTCGGACAGAATGCCACTAAAGCAATGCAGCTTCTTCAGTGGTCAGGATAGATTCTCTTCTGCTAGTTTTGTTATACTGTCACGGATCCTTGTTCCAGTCCTATCTTCTATCAATATTCACTATTCTGGGACACTGCAGGTCATGCTCAGCTGTAATCGTATGTTCAGGTGGAGGTGCTGGGCACTTTACCCGTAGCTCTTCACTCTGTGTGAACCCGGCGGCTCTTCAGCCGAGTTACCCGATAATGGGACACGGCTGGCGGACTATTCTGCATCTTATACCCCTGTCGAGCCGTAGGCAAAGTCCTGACCCGAGCCTGGCAGAACAACCGCAAGACGACCGAGTACCACAAGGAGTAACCTCGGAAATACACCATGAAGCACCTGAAATCCGAGCCAGTTGCTGCTACCAGGAAAAACCACCGGAATTCAGTCTCCTGTCAGAAAATCCGAACCTGACTAAGCCAACAATGACAAACCTGTAGCAGCAAACCGTGTCCCCTCCCACCATTGTTTGCATGCCCGTCGCAAATCACACTCCGACGCTTTTTCACGCAAGCTGTATGAAGACGTCAAGGACTGGATTGAACAATATGACAGTGTCGCCCGCCACATTGGGTGGACAGACAACCAGCTCCTGCAGAACCTATACTTCTCATGGAAGCAACTGCCGGCACTGGTCTGAGAACCATGGATCCTCCTTAACGTCATGGGAAGTTTGCAAGATCAAGCTGAAGCGCGCATCCGTCAGCCAACATCAACGAAAGAGAGCCGCATTCTTGATTCTGCCCAGGACACTGCCCCAATGAGAGCGCCACCGAACTCATGGAGGATGTTTTGCGCTTGATCGAGCGCCCACACCCACACCCATGCCGACCTTGATGCTACAGAAGACAAGAACCTAAGAATCCCATGCGCCTCACGTGAGGGACAACACCTTCGGCAGCCTTGTCCGCAACCCCCCAACAACAGTCGAAGTGTTCATATCACTGAGGCTTCCAACATGGAATGTGCACTGCATGCCCGAGCCTGCCACTATGAACAACTTCCCGGCGTCTCGACACTCGAGTTGTCCAGCTACTACTTCGACGCCAGCCTCCCAGGCATCCACGACATCACCCACGACGTTGTCTGGGAGGAGATCAGGAAGCTACTTCCTGCCATCAGTTGCCCGGCTTTTATTTTGATTGCCGAGACTGTTTCGAAACAAGTTTGACAGGTATTTCAACCGAGACTTCTGCGAGCGAAGCGGCATCTGACAAACCAAGGGCAACTTGCGCCACAATGGCACGACGACCGCCACCGGCTGCCCCTTAGTATTCAATGCCAATTCAACGAGACACTCTAACGCCGAAGCATTCCCGACATCGTGTGTAGGACTGTGCTCAACAAAGTACACCGAGGAAAACGTAGGTGATGCGAATGTGCGACCGAAAACCACTTTGCTACCACTGCATGAAGCCGACCGTATCTACCAAAGCAGCCCGTACCAATGAATTGGTCGGCGAGGGTTCGTGCCAAATGACCTTCGATTACGTCTCGAGGAGCGACCACGGGAGATTAAGGATTACCTTCGGCGACCTTTGTCCCTGATGCCGAAGGTGCTGAATCGAAGATTCTGAATCCCTGATTACCCCAAAGCTCCTCATGTCCATCACCTCAACAAGAGGTAAGCACGACAAAGCAGGTGAGCGGCGATGCAGTGACAGTGGATTTGGTGTCGGTTGTCGTCCAAGGACAATACCTAAAAATTTGCTGACACCAATTTTCTGTGTCCACTCCACGAAGCACACAATTTCCAACTTTGAGGGAGAATGCCCCTGAGTGACTTGAAAAGGAATAGAATGGTTGGTTGCTCTCAGAAGTGAACTGCAAGCATCACCAGACTTGGATAGCAAACAAAAATTGTTGCCAGCTTTCAAGTCAACGGTGCAGCAAAAGGCACAGTCACGTAAGCAATACATGCCCGAGCTTGCGACATTGATGCCGAAAACTACCAGGAAAATTTTCGGATTAGAAGCAAGCCCTGCAGCTTCAGTGCACATGACGTATGATTACAAGACAGCATCAGTCGGTCAAAGTTGCCACTCGACCAAACGGAACACCGACGTGCCAGGAGCATCATCCGACAACAAGGTCCACAGGTACTACGACTGAACGCCTGACACGAGACTGTCGCAGAAAGAGCTCGTTATGGAACTATTTACTAAGAATCAATAATTATGTAATCAAGTGGAAATAAACATATTTGATACACTAACCAGATAAACATATTTCCGCTTGCCTTCATGCCTTGAGAGTCTACACACCGAGAATTGTGTCCATTGCACGCTCTGGACCTTACGAGGACACTCTCTTCTCTGACCCTTCAATATTAATTAAGGGGTCATACCAGACTGGCAGACTTCTTGCAAGGGGCTGCACTCGTTCAACCTTTCCTGAACATGTGGTGCATCCGAAAACCAACTCCAGTGATGTGAAAATGTTATTTATTAATTTACTCCTTCCAGGGGCCTTCGTAAGCATTGCAGAGAGGATACTTAAAGCTACACACATGATAATAGCATTAAAGCACACTGCTGTAACTTGTTAATTGGAAAAACAAACACACCTCTGGGCATATAGTTTAATAGTATGTGTTGATGCATTGTTATATAGCATGACACTTCCTATATGTATGACACAATAGACCCTTTGCAGAACCTTATCAAGCAACACAACCGTCACCATTTTTTTCGGCGCTAAGCACACGGATGGGCCCCAGTTCACGTCGAACGCCAATGCAGCATTCGAGTCCAATAGGTGCTGAGCCGAATTCACAGGGATGGCGGACATAACATTCTTGTCGAACAAATACCCAAAGTATGAAAGCCTGGGGTAATTACAGTGGTAGCTATACTGTAATTTGTTTCATCAGAATTTGGCAGACGGCAAAGGCTACGGTCTCAGTGAGTCAATACACACATTGGAGAGAGGCACATGACAGCATATCACCAGAGTGCTCGTCTGCACAAATTTGTCACACACCTTCGCTCCGTCTCTCTGATTGGCTCGAGGGGGCTGTGGCGGTTGGCCTTTTCCAAGTTACGGTGATGCGAAGTATAGACAGCCCACACTTTTAAAAAGAGTCTATTGAAGAGACCGAAAGGAATGGTAGTCAACATTTTTCAACAAGACTGCTGTCCAGGCAAGGGATGAACACAAATATGAATCATCTTATCCAGGTAATTAGAACAATTAAATAATTGACCGACTAATACAACGCACTCTTGATGGAAAAGAGTATAGCTGCAATAAATCCTACAAAACAGAAAAAATGCGCAGTTAACCTATGCATGCACCAAAACAGTTGTTCTTATAGCAAGTCGAATAGCTTTGAAGCAGGTGCCTGCAACGATTTATTCTTCCCCATACTCAATAAAACGCCAACCACGTAGCTG